CTAAGCAAGTGATTTGAAGTCAGTGATTCTTATGTGATTCTTACCTCGAACTATTCAAATGTGAAATTTAATTACAAAACAACAACAACAACATAATTATTATATGCTTTGTGGACACTTTTTAAAGTATGCTTAACATTTAAGACTTGTATGAACATTACATTTTCTATCTTAAAGTCACATTATGACTCAGAAACGAATAGTTTTTTCTTCTTTCAAAAAAGCAAATATAAGTTTTATACTATTTAAATACTGGTGTCATTTAATATATTTGTACGGGAAGAAAATGCCACTAAATGTAAAATCATTTGTCATAAAGGAAGCAAAATGTAAACAAAATATTGTAGTATTTCACTTCCATAAAAATACTTAACCACTATAACTATAGTAATTGCCAAAAAGAAGCAGGAGAAAAAGAATGTTAAGGTTATAGGGAAGTGAGTAACTCTCTGGGAATACAATACACAAAATATGGAAAGTTTTTTTGAAGTAAAAATAATAACATATCCGGGACATAATGGGCCTTTAAGTTCCAATATTGCTCTATAGAACTCTGCATATTCTAATAAGTGTCAAGAACTCAATTTAACAATGATTTGCACGTGAAAGTACATGTACATAAAATGTAAAATACGGTCGTGAAGATTATTTATTTTTCTAACCAACAGTCTGTTTTCGCACGAATTGCACTTGCAATAAATTAATTTCATATGTGTTTTCCATATCGAAAGAAAATTTAAAGTTAAGTTTAGTGTGCGTCCTTGGATCCCGCATTAAATTTTTCTAATTAACTAGGAAAGAGGGAGGGTTAAAAAAGCATCAGCCTTATTGACTATAATATAAATTGCACAGGATCAAATAACTCGATGATAATGCACCGTCAGCGTTTGTTCATGCTTACTTAGAGGAGCACAGAATTTAGGTTTTGCTTCATCCCTGTCCTCTGTCATTGTGACTTTTGATTAAATCCATATCTCAAATCTTGCTTTCGCGGTCACAAGTTCGAAACCTGTAGTGCCGTCGGAGGCGCACTTAACCAGTATATAAACAGTATAACAAAAGAACAGTTCAAAAATGCTTTTCGGAATGGATTGTGAGGCTGGAAGTGAAGAGGTCCTTGGTGATTTTTTTTTTTTCACAGGTATGATGTATTTATAAAAAGACACTGCTATTGCCACTTATTAAAATAAACCCCTCGTATGTACTCATTTGAAGTAAGATGATGAATGTTCTGTCTTCATTTGGTGGTGACATTATCACACTGTCCACAGTCGTCCAAGTTTAAAACGACTTTCAACTGGTTATGATTATATTGCAAACATGGAGGGGACCTACTGAATACAAGAAGAGTCAGAAACCTTATTCAGAAAGCAATACAAAATATCAGCAAAGGGAAATAAAGTTAAAATCATACACAGCGACAAGACTGGTGTTTCAAAGATTGTATTTATAAGGCACTGTATGTCTAGTTTGAAAAGATTTGTGTTTAATAATACAAAAAAATTATTTGTGGTTTTATAAAGATGACAGAATCAAACTTTTCTTCCTTTATCATAAATGGATGTTTGATAAACATTGGAAAATGGTTTACAAAATATGGCGCACCAACTTACACAAACATGATATTGTTTATTTTTTTGTTACATGTAAAATAAAACGTCTTACTAAAATAACAGAGACGTACCTATCGTTTCGCTAATAAGCACGGGCGTATACAAAGAACGGAATTTCGAAAAAAATCAGAAATGAAATGTAAAATTAATTATTTGGGCATTGATCGATTAACAGTTGCGTAGCTCCTATTGATTCAAAAATATGTTTGGGACATTACCTAATTCAAAAATGTGTTACCTATTTTGATATTTTGTATACACAATCAATCAAAGGTTATAAGGGAAAGGAGTAAGAACATTTGAGCAAATTAATTACTTTGCTTGGGTTTATCAACGGGGGCGATTTCAGACAGAATTAGTCTTTTTTGTTTCTGGTATCAGAGTTATCAAACTTTTTAATGAATATGGTTTGAATTATCTTAAAATTTCAATTTACACCACTCTATGCAGATTCTATTAAGGATGAGACTTTTTAAACTCATAAACAAAATGTTCGAAGAGAGTCAATTCATTTGTAAATTTCTCTTTTTTCCAGACTCAGTTATGCTTTGAATAATCAATGCTATAATGCTTATAAACCTCGTTAAAATTCAAATAATAATAAAGAAAAATTGTCAAATATAATACAATCATCATTTCAAAAAGAATCAAAATCAGTGAAAACTAAACTTTCTTTCACAATGTTACATTTATATTTGTCTTGTCTGTATCTTGGCATTTGTAGCACACTGAAAGGGAATTAGGCGTATAAAATGCCTTTTTATGTTTAACCTTGTTCTTATAAGTCAGTATTATGACTATTATTATTATTACTATTTCTAATTGAGTAACATTCAATCATCTTATATTTATTTCGAAATTTTGTAGAATAGTATTTGTCATACGAATTAGAATTTTGCCTCGAAACAATGGCCACATCTATCGTTATTAACCAAACTCGACTTTTGTTGTAATCTTCATTTCTGTATTTAAATTAAGTACCGTAAAAAGAATATTTACAAAACACACATATACGAATATAGAAAGGTATTCATACTGTCTTACTTTATTGAGAATATACATAAATTGCATACTTCTGCAAACAATGATATAATTATATTCTTTATTTTATGTAGTCCATATATACAGAAGTAAATATATAATCAGAATAAAGTATAGCCATGTCATGTCATGTCCCAATTTTTTTTTGTACCGTGTTTAGAAAACAAGTTTTTTTATACAAACATACTTTGATTCAACTATATAATGAAATAGCTTAAATATTTTGAAGATTAGAGATGAGAAAAAAACTGTCGGCGACAATGCATATTTGTTTCGTAACATTGACATAATACGCCCAAAGATATATTTTAAGGGACCTTAACGATCGTTCGATACAAAAGTTTAGGTCTTAAAACTACAACTTATTGTTATTCTTAAACATTTTTAAGCTGATGTGTTTTTGTATTATCGTCATGCAGACTATTTTAAAGGGATATTTTCCTTGATTATATCTTATGAAACAAACGAAAAATAACAAAGAAAACATAAATTGTTAAAAACAGGAAATTAAACCCATCTTGAGTACAATAAAGGAACCTTTGTACATTTTGTTTTTTCTTGTAGTAAATAAATTTTGAATTATTTTAAACAGTGTACACGTTAGACTGTATGCAATATCTCTTACATTCAATACTTGATGTTAGTTTCATAACGTTTTAAAGGTAGTATTATTACAATAAAATGACATTTCATCCCTTAGGTGTCCATTCAATTACTGGTTAAAGAGGCCCTTCAGCCAAAGACCTGAACTCGGTGTAAATGTAAAACTCAAATTAAGCCGAGGTTCGATGCCCTTATGATATATTTATTTCATAATGATTAAAATATGTTGTAATTAACCAGAGATTATAAAGTAACATATTAAAAGTCAAGTCAGGAAATTCAGAAATATATTCAGGAATGTAAGGCATCATACGCTAAAAATTAAATAATTGCAAATAGAGATTGGTTTGATATACATGTAAATCAAGTCCTTAAAATTAATTGTTCCTTAACAATTAATGTAAAGGTGGTTGTGAAAATTAAACATCAGGTAGAAAAAAGCAAAAGAAAAACATAGCATTAAAGTCGCAATAAAAGTAATTTACACAATAGATATCTCAAACTATTATTTTTCCCTTGGAGTGTATTTAATAAATGTATTTCATAAATTTACAAAAATAAGAAGGTCAATCATTTTTCGGGTCATACAGATCAGTGAATGAAATCGTAATTTTTTCATTTGTGCATATGTTATTCGAAGTATTTTAATCGAACAATAACTAAAGGAAATACGTTAATATGCAGATTTGATAAGAATTGTATCTTCCGTTTTCTGTTTGAAACAATCTGTTCAAGCATCTTCGTTTAAGTTATTTCCAACAAGTTCAACTCAGTATTGTTTCGTTTTTGTTTTTGTTGTTGTTGTAGTTGTTGTTGTTGTTGTTGTTGTTGTTTTATGTACCCCGCGTCCCTATGCAAAACAAGTTCATCAGTTCGTTCACACACTTGCTCCCCGTTTAGATTTTTAAAACAATACACACCGGTTCTCCGATTTACTCTCACACTTTCACTGTTTAATTGTTACACAAGCTATCAAGTTCATTCACACACTTGGTCCCCGTTTAGTTTGTTCATACAATACACACCGGCTCCCTGATTTGCTCTTACACTTAATACCCTGTTTCGCAGTCCGAATGTTACACAGGTTCCCCAGTTCATTCGTCCCAAGTTTGTTTGTAAAAAGAAATGTCTTCTATACCATTAGCGCAAACAAGAATATGTTATCATGACAGTGAATGTAAATATGCCTACTGTAATATAGAGGCTGCAGCAATTAAAAAGGAAAAAGTCCCCGTTTCGTAGGTTTCAAACTCACCTCCATTGTTACGTAGGTATTTGCGTGCGTGTGCGAACGTGCGTACGTACGTTTTTCGGGTTTTCTTACATGTATTTGTATTTTTATTTAATGACATATTCTTTAAATACGTTAAATATACATTCTCCACCAGATAACACTTAATCTTCCCGATAAATATGTGATTTAAGGGCATTGTCATGTATCTTTTCAAGTTTGAATGTTTCTGTAATTCAAAAAATACCTAGTTTTATGACGCGTTAAAGTAAGTGACTAACTAGTTTAATACTGAATTATCTAACCACATAATCATCAGGCAAAATTGAGTGATTATCTTGTGGCAAATATATGCCACCATATTATTTTATTCATTTCATAAAAGTTTAAAAAAATCTTTCGAGTGATACTTTATTGTAGAAGTTTCATTAATGACTGATTGTGGCATATATCTGCTTTTATACAACAACTTAAATTATTCGTTAATTATGTGTTTAACTAGTTATTATGTCGCAAAACTGTTCTTGTCCCCAAGGTACACCATATAGTTGAACTTGGTAGTCATGAGAATATGTTTTATATATAAACGAGCTTGTCACTGGTTAAAACCAGTTTGGGGTAAATTATTGAAGTTTACATATCAATAAACGTGCAGTATTAAGAAGATGTCTATTTTTCTTAATATAAGTATTGGACTTTTTTTATCATGGTTTTGTCAGAGAAGAAGTGTGGAGGCGGAATTAAGTGCTAACGGAGTATATGAACTGTTGTCAACGCGAATAGACAATGTTATTCGTGAAAACAATAATCTAAAATCTGAGCTTAAGGAAACTAAAGCAGATCTTCAAAAACAACTAAAAACAGAAGCAAAATTATTGCGGAAAATACTAGATGACGAGAATGCACATATGAAAGAAACAAGAATGACATTTGAACAAAAATTTAAAAGTTTCCAGTTGGAAATCTTAAATGATTTAAATTCAATGAATATCTCAAGACAAACATCTGTAAGCAAATTAGAAAATTCAATTTCCAAACAAAACATGGCAGTTATCACAATGCTACAGGCAGTTGAGAACAAACTTCGTTCAGTATCGACAAAGCAAGGTAAAAATTATTTTTATACTTAATACTTTTATACTTAAATTCAAATTGGTACCAATAAAGCAATTTTGAAATGTTTTTCACGAATATAAACTTCTGCATAAGTGTTGATTTGCTGAATGCAATATTTCTACTGGAATTTTGGGTCTTTTGTTCTGTTTTGTAATCAGAGTAACAGTGTTAACCAGTAAACAATCCTGATATTTCAGCTTCATACATTACATTATGAGATAACACTGTTGTATTAGTCAATGCTGTTGATGCTTCCTCAAATATTATTATCTGTCCTATTTCATTTTTTAGACATGAAAATTACCTACAAACTCAAAATTGAAAAAAAGGAAAAATATATTCTACGCAAGTTTTCAACGAAATGCGTATTAAATAAATTAATATTGCTCGTATTCCTGTAAAAGATATCTGATATGATAATACTTAGTAGCTGATAAGTTTGATAGACAGATGAGTTTGATATACATGTGGTAGTAATATATAAGAAACATGTAAATATTTATAAATAACTATAATTATTACAGACAGACAGGAAGGCACATTTTCTGGTCAAATTAGTGCTTTAAGCAGACGAATCTCTGTGGAAGAAGGTAAGTCCTAGGAACACATGCGTTTATGTTTTTAAATGGCATTATGCGTTCTTTTGAAGTCTTTATTTTAACATGACATCTTCGTGTATAAGCGGTCCATATTTCAATATGCTTTACATCGTACATATGTTTAATAAAAAAGTCAAATTTCACTAATTTGAATCCGAATATGCTTATTCAAGCAAAGAAAATACTACAATATTACGTTTTGTGAAATATGTTCTATTTTAAATTTTGAGGTCGGGTTAAAGTTATTATTTTTTGTTTGTTTTAACATTGAACAAATATATATTCTGAGACATTTAAAACAATGGATTTAGACATCTAAACTTTTATATTATAGTCCTATCATAAACGAGAAGAACCGTGCTTCATACAACGGTAAAATGGGCTGCTTTGTTTATGTGCACCTACACATTATACTTGATTCTATCTGATGATATAAGAAGAAGAAAAATCATTTAGTATTAACAAACATTTTATACTTTTTGAATCTAAATTATATAATATCAAAACCAAATATTCCTATTTCTCTCCTTGCTCAATAAAAATTATTTCATTCTATTTCAGCCAGAAAGGTTGCATTTTCAGCTAGACTCACGAAGAAACAAAGCTATTATGGCAAAGATGAACGAATAGTGTTTGATGAAGTTAAATATAGTTACGGCGGAGGATACAGCTCTTCAACGGGGATATTTACAGCGCCAAAATCAGGAACTTATTTGTTTACTTATAATATAGAATCAACAAGTTCAGGTATGGCCCATGTGAGTTTAATGATAGATAGTCGTGTTACAACTCAAGCTTTGGTAGGAAAAGGTCCAGATTACAATGGTGGAAACTCGGCGATAGCTTATGTTTGGAAAGGTGAAAAGGTTTGGGTAGAGACTGCTTCATTTCAAGATATGTATTACATCGGGCCGTACAGAACTACATTTAATGGTATCTTGATCGACTAAAATAAAGTACCATGAATTGCAATACAGCGTGATCAAACGTAAAATAATTATCGATTCCTTCTGACTTACGTTCTTATCCTCTTTTTTATTTAAAGCCTAGGGGAAGCTGATTTTAATCACATTGTTATTATAGATTTGAATTCGCACTGCAAAGTCTCGGAGATTAATTAATTTTTTGATTTTTGTTCAAGTTAAACCCTTTGAAAACTAAATTATGTTTCTATTTAGATATCAAAATACAAATATTGGTTTTGGCCATCCTGAATGTGAGGAAAGTATTTCTTATTCTTTTAAGAACTAGATTTCGCAGACTAACTAAAAATATGAAGTGGTTGAAATTATAGTTTGTACTGAACAATGCAATCGATCATTTTTTCAAAATTCTAATATATCTTATTCATTTTATCACCCAAATTTGTCATTTAATACTTTCCCGTTATATACGCCATACTCGCATTATTTAAAGATTTAAGAATTAATTTCAACAACTACAGTATGGTTAGTGTTTAATTTCATTTATCTGTCGCGGGACTGCATTGCGGCAGACAATTTTGTTTTCATCAATGTTGACTTACAAACAATAATCTAAACTTAGCCAGGATATTGTAAATAAATGATTTGTGAGACATTTTGCCGAGATCATACAATAATTATAAGGGATTTATGTACAAATAATAAGCAATTGTTCATGAATATTGTATGCTTTTATAAAATTTTGATTTGCATTATTTTAGCTACATTTAATTAAAAAGTGACATTTTCGCATACCTTGTCTTTGTTTTCCTTTGTTTGGCCGCTAAATGAAATAGACTCACACCAAAAATGACGTCAAAATAATGTTGATGACTTTTCCTGTGATTTATCTATTATATGTGACGTCAGAGAGTAATAATCTGGAAAAAATCATATACTAGCTCTGGCTGGCGTATTAGCGTTGACGTCACAAGTCCACAAAAAGACGTGTGGACTTAAGGTTTTAGTGCATTTATTCCGCAGACGTCGTCCCTTTTTAACAAATAACTATTGATAGTCAATGGCACTCCGATCTTCCGTTAGGCATGTAGTTTATCGACTTTGTTTCATAAGTAACAAATAAAATTTCTTTACAGCAATATAAATCTTTTACCTTCAGTGGTAAATGAACTCTTGAAAAACAAAATGCATACACTGTTGTTATTTGTGTATGTTATGAAAATGGTGGACTTATGATCCGGTCAATAAATAGGGTGGGGTTGTTTTGTTTGTTTGTGTTTTTTTCTCTTTTTTTTGTTGTTGTTGTTTTTTTTACTCGAAAAAAAGCTATAAAGATGTAAATTTATATAATTTATAAATTAGTATTGTATGACAAGTTAACATCACGTTTCGGCTCACGAAGCATGCTTTACTGTCCTGAGGAAGTAAGACTACAGGAGAAGTAATGGGTTATTCCACACGACCCAATCGGTTATTGTACATTATTTTAATGTTTAGCAAAATAAAACAAAATGTATTTAATTGTTGTTGTTGTTGTTGTTTGGTTTATTTTTTGTTGTTGTTGATGATGATGTTGTTGTTGTTGTTATTGATGTTGTTTTTGGTTAGGGAATGTTAAGTTTTTGTGGGGTTTTTTGGGGGTGTTGTTGTTGTTTTTGTCGTCGATTTTTTTGGGGGGTTGTTGTTTTTTGTTGTTGTTTTTAGGAGGGCTGATTGGTAGGCCACCGTGCAATTGCTATACAAAGTTAAAAACAGGCAGGAATGCAATGGGGTTTTACATACCAATTAGATAGAAATTATCTAAATCACAGAAATGATTAAACTTGTTGAAATTGGCAAATTTTCACTGTATGGTTTTCGCCTTTTATTATATGAAGAATATATACAGCATATTAAGAATTATAAATAAGAAACATCCGTAACTGACTCATGACTCGTATGCACTGACAATGTTTAACCAACTGCTTTGCGGAAAATTCCTTTTTGATGTAAGAAGCATTTTAATCATATTTCACAATTGTCATTGTAATTTATTTCTCACACCTATATCCGATGTATTGTCTTATCTGCAAATAATATAACCATGCACATCTGCAAATAGTATTAATTCAATTCTTTAAAGTCATTTGACTTTATTAGTATAGATGGCGTTAACAAAATGTTTAAATTGCGTAACGCATGACTGATATTTTTCTATCAAATTGATTATACACCAAGATAAAATGAATATTTTACAGAAAAAAAAATATATAACAATATAACAAACTTTACATAAATTGATTTTTATCAAACTATGATTATCAAGGGGATAATAATTAAGACATGAAAAATACTGGCGGAGTTTTGCCTCAATTATGTAAAGTTTTGACGAGTTAAGATGTATATTTTCAACTTTGCCGCTTTGGCTATTAATTTTTTGTCAATCACCACTAGCTCTTGCAATAATAATATAAGAGTATTTAGGATAACCGAATTTTATCGCATTGCTGTTCTTGTATATAGATTATAAAGTAAATCTTGAAATACTTTCACTTAATTATATGTATTACAAAATATGTTTTCTACGTCTTTGAATAGCTATTATATATAAAATTTAAGAAATATTACACCTAGAAGAGTTTACACCTATCTTTATTTTCATTTTACAATTAAATAAACTTGTAACGAATATTCACAATGAAGGTAAACTTCAGAGGCTGATCCAGGATTTCCATTAAGGACGACAGTGTGTAGCTGTGAGTGAGGGTAGATACAATAGGGATCTTCCCTCCCATAATTCGGAGACGGAAAGCGCCTCTATTAAAGTTTGCTTAATGAAAGTAAAATATTATGCATTCTTGAGCATTTGGAGGTTATATATTGCATTCATACACTTAACTGTGTTTCTATCAGCTGAGTATACTTACCGTTCAGTACGAGAATCATTTTCTGAGTAAGTGTTGTCCCTATCCCCTAAATTATTTCCATTTTTATCGGCATCAAATGATTAAACATGTAAAGTTAATATATAATCGAAAATACCCTTTTTGGTCCATGGTATATACAAATACATGTATTATGTGGCTGGATACCGAGGAGGGCAGACACTGAAATTGTTTAGCTGGGAGTGGTCGATAATTCAATTCTAAATATTTGGAGCAATACTTTTACACAAGTACTAAATGTTTGCATTAACTGGTCCTATAAAAATGAATCTGGAAGAAAATTGTATATGATCATGTTCCCATCCACCAAAAAATAACATTCGGAATATATAAATATCTAGAAAAAGTAATCCCTCGGAACCATTTAAAACAGCAAAATTACATGAAAATTGCAGACTCGCTTTGATTGAGTCTGTTCATGAGGGGTAATAAAAAAGTGCAATATCACTCACGTCCCCTAGCACCGGCTTGAGCGGTACTCAATTTTCAACACTTAAAAGTGTTGTATCAATGATCCCAAAGGCCGCTTTATTCCTCTAAAACAAGGATATTAAACAAACGTACAATAATTGACAGTGCTTAAAAAAACTTTTTTCTGCAAAATACATTCAAAGTTTTGTAGCAGATGTACATGCCTGATTTCAAATTTTCGAACATTTTTGAAGAGCAACTTATTTATAAAAAGCCAACAAAACTTGAGTTTCGAGTACACTATGAAAAGCAATATAACAAAGGTAGGGCGACATTCAATGAACGCATCCCCAAGAACACTTGCCCGTTAAGCACACGATTATATGGTTTAGAAATATTCGAATGAAAGTGAGATCATTTAGCAAGGGCAATTCCTTTTTGTATGAAATATTTTTGTTTTCTATAGAAGCAAATACAAACAAGATTCATGGTACATCTTTACTACTTAGTATGCAAACATAATTTCGAGGCTTCTTTATAGCCTAGCGGATTAATCACTCGGTTAGTTGGAATTACGTGCACTTTACCAATGTTGTTTTGAGTATCCAATTTAAAACCCCACAAAGGCTTTGAAATCTGTAAAGTGAGGAGGCAATCCAGCAATTTTACGGCTAATCTGTTTAACTGCTTAACTCACACGCTCAGTATCGTTAGACTGAGATGAACTTAAGGTCTTTTCCGACCCATTAAATGTTTGAAAGTAACCATATATTATTACGTATCGTAATATGTAAGAAAAACATATCAAACCATATGTCACACGCTGGATATCGTTTTCCAGATTTAGTGAATTTGTACCACATCTAAAGATAAGACAGCATAAGATTTAAGACAGTAAAGAATGATTTTATACAACAAATCACGGTCATGTTCAAAATACACATAGATTAAAATAATAACAAATAAGTACATGTAAAATTAACAAGCGTTGTTCAAATTTGAATTCTTCTAATTTTCCCTATAAATGACATGTTTTGACAGTCATATTACAAACCATCTCATGCTGCAAGTGCAGGAAAATGGTTTTTTTTTTAATATTTAAAAAATCGATTTGCAAATGCTTTTTCTTTTAAATCTAATGTCGAATTATTTTTTGCTACTTTACTTTTGTATCCGTCTTAACATTTGTAATTGCTCCTGTGTATAGTGTTTAAACGTTAATTTAACGTTTAAATGTTTTCGTTTCTACGCCTAAGGGAAGGACAGTTACTTATGTTGCTAGAACTTGTTGTTCAACCCTTTTGCTGTTTGATAAAATGTCGTTTTGTGAAAATAATATTCTTAAATTGTATTCAAAGAGCAAATTTTTTTTATTAAACTAAACACGTTCATGTTCACTAAATGTCCCTCAGGTACGCCATATTTTTTCGTGGCGACCAGAACAATTTGTACAAGTACAAATGTTGCTGCAATGCAGCAATTGAGAAGCTCCGCGCAAAAAAAATGTGCTTATTACAGATACCTTACCAAATTATTCCTACGCACAGGTCATGTTATATTCAGATTAAGTACTATTGTAGATTTTTTCCGAATGTTTTGTAAACCATTTTTTGCATAATTATACTTATCTTATGCAATGTCCATAATAAAAGAGGGGAAACATTTTAAAATAAAAATGCTTTCACTGATGCCTACCTGGTTAGGAAAGTAATTCCATTGAATACAAAGTTATGTGACATGACTGTACTGTGTTCTGTTTGTGTCACTACTGTAGTCAGTAACAGAAGATGATAGAAATATCAAAGTCTGTTATAATTGTAACAAATATACAAATAGTAACAAAAGGGACTAATATTATAATATAGTAATATTACATGTATATTTTTCATGTCAAATTTAAAAAAAATGGTTTCTTTCAATACTGAAAGTAGAACACACTCTGGAACGAAAAAATGAATTTCAAAAAGACCAATTTCAGGATTTTTTTGTTTGTTATACACGCGTTACATGGTGATACAGTATTTATCAATATAATAGAAGACTGTTACCTGAATTTTAGGTAGGTATGAGGAAATTCACTAATATCATATTCGTGCGAAACAAAGATATGAAAGCTATTTGACATTGGTAAACTATTGTTAATTAATTTTTAGAGAGATCAATATATATTTTTTGTTGAATTGCTTTAAAACCATTCACAAAAAACATAACACTTCATGTTCAAACTGCAGATCAAAGTTTCTGTTGTTGTCATGATATCTATATATAGCTTATGCTAAAGGTGATTCCGCTTAGTCAGCCATGTTTGTTTTCATTAAAGTCTGTCCAAAGTGAAAGTAGGCCAAAATTCATATAACAACAAACTCTTATTGTAAAATGATGAACCATTTGAAAGTACACTTCCATGTTTATATTTTAAGGACAATTATAAACAAAAATAAAAATGATAACAATAAGAATATTGACCTTGAATGTGCTACATTTCTGAAAACCAAAAACATTCTGTTGCAAAGTTTTATGCACATTTCATGAATGGCAAAATCCTTTCTAAAGTCTGTTTTAGTGCCAACAAAAGCTATTTTTTGCAGCAAATACAAAAATCTTTCAAAATTTAACTCCAAATGAATCAGTATCTCATGTCCTTCTAAGCACATGGCCTCCATCATTTTGTAAAAAAGTAGTGCAAGAAAACAATCAACATTTATAGCCTTATGAACTACAATTAAAATGAAGACACAATCAAACTTTAAAATCTAACCTTTTTATGTGTAACAGTGAAGTGTGTCTGTTTGTCATATACACAAGAAAAAAGTAAATGATGTTTATTTTCATTGTACTACTTTTTTACGCCATGTTTTTTTCAAGGCCAGATAAACTACTGTCCTAAGATTTATGTTTTTTAAAGTATTTGTATCTTCTGCAAAAAAATAGCATTTGTTTGCACTAAAAAAGACTTTAAATTGGATTTTGCCATTCCTGAAATGTGCATAAAACTTTGCAACAGAATGTTTTTGGTCCTCAGAAATGTAGCCTATTCAAGGTAAATTTCTTATTGTTATTATTTTAATTTTTGTTTAAAATAGTCTTTAAAACATAGAATTGGATGTGTACTTGCAAATGGCTCATCATATAACAATGTGAGCTTTGTTGTAATATGAATTTTGGCCAACTTACACTTTGGACAGACTTTGAGAAAACAAACTTGGCTGAGAAAGCGGGATCACCTTATTGAAGGTCCATCCGCTCGTAAGGATACAAAATGCAGCTTTTGCTTTCGAGTACGGACCCCCGAGTATATCACCAGTCATACCACTATTTTTTTTTCCACAAAGTGGTATGCTGTTCCATGGAGCGAATGAAATGTAACGTTATATACTAAAGTTTAATTATTTCAAAACAACCAATATATCAACATGTTATTATTAAACATTTAATTTCATAAATATAAATTAAAAATAATTATCAAAAGCAAAAATGTTAAAATCTTCTACCTGAAATTTTCTTTATATTGACAAAATCAATCACTAATAGTATACTTGATTTGCTGTGTGTAAATGTATTTCATATGTAACAAATTATAATTTCATGTTCTACTAAAAAAGGGAAATAACAAATTTATAACCGAAGTAACATTTATAGCTATTTATAGCTTTCGAATTTATGTAACAGCAAACTGCTTTCCGGTTCTCATTCATTAATATGACATGCTGCGAATCACCGACGAAGAAACCAATATAGAAATCGAAAGGAGTTCTTGAATGCGGATTTACTTTTAGCTGTTAATCGAAAGGATTTATTGCCCATGGACAAAAAAAATAGTAAACACAAATAGCTCCGCGCAAAGGTCATTCCACTTGGGTCAGTCATTGTATTTTTATTATAAGAGGGACAGAGACGTAGCTTAGTACACACTTTAACATGTACACTTAAAACGGTAAATTTTAACAAAAATAAAGATAGCAGTATTCTAAATTAGATTTACAATATCAGTATTTAATGCACTATAATTTAAAAATAATCGGAGTGAACCAATGATCTGAAATGTTCTACACAAGCTTCTGGAATAGAGATCTGGAAACAAACTGATCCCTCGGAAGCATTTATCACTACAAAATTACATGAAAAATTACAGACTACATCAAACGGTATAAATCTCGGATAATGCTTTCAGTCCGTAATGTTAAAAAATCCTCAGTGTCCGTTAAACATTGAATAACTTCATCATACATACTTCTTCTGCATGCATTACTTTGTGATAAGACATGGTATTCGTATGTATCACTTAACGCTGCTGTTGCGCTTGAAAATATCTTCTGTTTTTTACATTCCATTTTACACTAACATAACAAAAAAACTAAGTTAATTCCAAAGACAAAACATCACCTCTGTAGGCATTTTAACCAAAATTTCAATTCAATTCTTATTTGGAAAGTTGTGCTTTGACTTCATGAAAAACAGAGGAGTATGATTTGTGTGATATTATAATGTATAGTAGTAATAGATATAAAGCCAATAAATAGAAAGATAATTATACACTTGTATTCATTGATCAGACAGTGCTCTAGACAGAAGTATTGAAGACGAAAAAGGTAAGTTCGGAAGGGAATTGTTATTTTATAAGTATATTTATTTGTTTTCAAATCGCAAAACGGAATTTGTGTCTATATTTTAACATAACATGTTTATGTATAAACAGTGAAGTCCATGTCTAGATAAATCCAATCTGTCCGACTATGACTACTGTCGCGACAGCTCAATTGGGTACACCACTGACTGTCACTCCTGGGGTTCCGGCTTCGATCCTGGGTAACATCCTTGGGATTTTTCAGAAACACTTTCAGTGTTTTCCACCTACCTAGAGGTATACTGGTAAGAAACCTAGGTAATCCTCGCACGTATCTGTGGTATACAGAGATAGGGACATGTTAAAGAACCATGAGGTCTAATAATTAGAGCTAGGGACTGGTTCCCGGATACACTTGTATATCATAGCTATCTCAGGAGTCTGCTGAGGTAAGGACCCTACTGGAAATAAGTGCTTGTACTTCGTAGGTTTTCCTTGACCGCCCGGTTTAAATAAAATTAATCAGCGTTCGAGATATATAGTACATCAGTGAAAATTCGGCAACTTCAGCACTAATAGACATGCAGAGATACATTACTAGTGACACATGTCAGTTCTGTGGACCGTTGTCGCTTTATAATCTTAACTATTTTTTAATGAATGATTTTTTATCAGATGCGAATGCGCCTTTGTAACATTCCGTATACACTACATTTAGTTCTGACACATGTAAATAGCCTGGGTTAGCAAGGACGGATGTATCTTGAATTTTTTTGCACATTGTAAAATTTGCAACGTAAGCTACTTATAATGTATTTTTAAAAGTCCAATTATACCGTCATATTCGTTCCTTGATTTTATCTTCGCATTTTGAGAGACACGTTCTTAACATTGATTAAGTACATTTAGTTGACTTTTATATATAATTACAATAGCTTGTATGTGTCGTAAAACATAACTTTTGATTAGTTTTGTTGTTGTTGTTTTTTGTTTTTTTTTAAAGTACTGTTTTTTAAACATCAAATGTTCTATTTTTCTGTCATTTGTCTTATAATTTAAAATTAACTTTTATTTGTTTCAGAAAGAAGGTTGCATTCTCAGCTAAACAAAGCTATTGCAAAAGAACGAAAGAAATAGTTTTTGATGAACTTTTATATAGTTACTGTAGATGATACGTCGGCGATATTTACAGCGCCAAAATCAGGAACTTACTTGTTTATATTTTGAAGCAGCAGGTTCAGGTAAAGTCTAGTGTCTTTAATGTCACAACTCGAGCTATGGCAAGAAAATGTTCCGACATTATTGGTTGAAACTCAGGGATATGTTATATTTGGATAGGTGAAAAGGTTTGGGTAAAGAGACTGCTTTATTTTTTATTACATATAGTCTTACAGGACAACATTTATATTGATTGTCTGTAGTAATGATGTCAAATAAGAAGTACCATACACGATTACTGCCATATGGCAATTTTACAATATGACAGCAATAGTTCATGATAAAAGATAAAAGTCTCAGATATTGTTCAGTTGTTATAAAACTGAAGGCTATGGTTAACCATTTGCAATGTAAATTGTGTTATTATTTGAATGTTAAACAATATGTAAATACTGATTACGATTGATTATGACTGCATCGGTTGGAGCAATGTATATTCATTTTTTTTTTCCAAAAAAAAAACAACGAAAATTGCACAAAATCATGTCTTATCAGATTTTATGGCATTGAAATATTATAAAACACACGCTTTTAGTGTGTCCAACCAAATTTGAACATTTATTTTTTTATCAATTGTGATAATATAATAATCATCTGAATCAATTTTGTCTATATTTTCAAAATATCAGTTCTTGAAACTTATATTAAACACTTTCAGCGTCTTTGAAACAACCAGTACTGATGTCTTATGAAGAAAAATGGCTGCGACCCGATTAAAGCTCGAACCTGATTCCTGGGTTGAGAAGATGACAACTTGACCACTAGGCTTCTGCTCCCCATAATATAGATTACATGCATATTTCAATCATTCAAATGCCATGTCAAGGTCGCTTACTGCTATTTAAACACGCTGAGTATAGACACTAATGTAGCCAAAACAAAAATTGACTCATTATGGCATGACGCTGATGTCACAAGAAGTCTTCCTCAAGCTAAGAACACTGAAGTAGCTAGGCAATAAAAACCTAGTCATAATAAATAATGCTGACACATTATGCCTAAGAAATAAACATTCATTTCCCTCTGTAGAAAGGCCAAACATGTCTTTTCTAATGTTAAAATAAAGGATCTAGAACATGTGAGAAGATTATAACAAGAAACAAATAGCTTTGAATTTGAAGAACACAAAAGAAAGGTATACCAAAATGTAAATAAAGTAATATGTTGACTTTCATATAAAAATTAATCACTACTTCCTAACTCCTGCCCCTAACTGGACCAAGAGCCCAAGAAACTTAGATCAGCAAATCAAGAAACCATCTTTTTTTAAATTGCCAAAACAAAAAATGTAAGAAATATATTATTTGTGATTTAATTGTATAGTAGATAGACGTTAACATTACTCAGAAACGTAAATATATATCATTGCAAGTTTTTTTTCTCACTCAAACATGTGCTTCAGTATCCAATCAGCAAATAGTGTTACCATTCGCATCTGAAATAAAATGGGGTTAGCATTAATGCATAATTTAAATGTTTAACAGAGATAAATAAATTAAACTAACATTTCAAAAAATGTACATAGATTCGATAATTAAATTGGGGATAATCTTTTTTTGGTCATATGCGGGGTTCTAGCGTGTAAAGATCTTTAAAATATACTTCTTTGTAGCTAGGACAATTTGTTTTTTCTTACAAATAACCACATGTTCATACCAGTAGTAAAAGTAGATATATTTTAATAAACTGGGCCTTTCATTGCTACAGAAATTGAGCTCATTCGTATTGATTGCTTTAAAGTAAGAATAGTATAATCAGAGGAAGAAGAGGACATGTTTATGTCAAAATAATTTCTAAGATTTACACGTATGTTTTTATCTAAAAATGGCGCTGTGGTTCGTCAACAAATATTTCATGATTTCTTTTTTCAAACACCAAAACGTAAAAAGTTCAGATGCAGATATAAAACAAACACATCTGCATTAAATTGTACAATATCCGTAATCATTTAAATGGGGAACGTGACTTGTATCAGAGGAAATGACACACCATACCTTTTAAGACTAAACTAGTTTCATCTGCCGAATGTTTACCAGCGCCATCTGGAACACAGCGGTAAGTGCCGGCGTTGTCACATTGCGTTGATGCTAAAACTAGCATCAGTTGACCACTGTTTCCGGTAATATAGCTTAATTCCGTTACTCTTTTAAATCCGTTGTTAGTCTCTCCGTTAAGGAAGCTCGATATTATAGTACTGTTATCCTTGTAAATGACGATATCGGTCAAACCATCAAAGTCTTTAACTTTACAGATCAGAGTTACAGAATCTCCTATCTGTATTTGATCAACAAAGTTGTCAATGTATATGTCTGGAAATATATTTCAGAAATTTACACCTAGTGCTGATTTAAATCTCTATTTTTGTGTACTTATTCAATCAAATAATAATTATAAATAAAATTACCTAACTTCTTACAGATCCTCATAATAAGAGTTAAAGTCCACAAAAGAAAAGAAGCGTTATGAAATAGATTGTTTCAACTATATGGTTTCAGTGTCAAGTAATAAAGTTGAAAAATAATTTGATTTATGTTCGGGATAATTCAAGTTTGCAGTTAAAATTTATTCAATCATTATGAACTTACTTTTTCTAAGTTATTCAATATTTCTTTGATAATGTTATAAGAACACTTATATAACTAACCTCTTCAATGTATTTAAGGGACTCCACTGAGGTTTTTGACATGATGCGACTGAAAATATTTTTCCAGATAATTGTACCATTTGTTGTTGGTTTAGACCACAAACCTTTGTGTAAAATTTCAGATCATTCGCGCAGTTCGTTTTTTCCAGGATAATTATTCAAATTGTAAAAATTGACCCAAAATGAAAAGTGTTTAAATACTTTTCACTCAAAACCGTAAAAATACGATTTTCAATTTATTTCTAAGTATATTTCTTCACTATTTTTGCATATATTTCTGTTTAAAGTGTCCCAGTTCATTTATGTAAGAAATTCAAATGTTGTTTTTAATCTTTTAAACCTCAGTGGAGTCCATATAAGAAGCTTATGTATAAATTTGTAACATAATCCTTTAAATATACATGATCAATTTTTTATACAAAAACAGAAGCCATATATTATATAAGTCTTTAAATTCCTAGAATTACCTGTCACGGAACATCCGCCTATCGCCTCACAAGAATAACACGTCGTCTCATGAAAGCAATGACCTTGCGCACAACCTGCCGGCACACCCGACACATCTCCGCTGTGGCACTGGACAAACATATTACAATGGTAGGGGTGTCTAAGGACTCCAGTATAGACCTGGTTTTGAGTGCAATAGTTTTCTAAAGAAAATACAATATGCAAGCAAAAATAAACAAGGGGAATCAACATTAAATAAAAGTAACATCAATACCTTCACAGAACATCAAATGACTAATGCACCTAGTAACGGCACCCGGCGGGGCATTGCATGTGGAACGGGGCAACGAAAGGGCATTGAAGGACAGGTGTAAAATAAAAAGAATATAAATATCATATTAAGTTAAGATTAAGAAAAACAGAATCTCTAAAGAATGTCCAACACGGCAAAATTGAAAATGTTGCAGACGCGGTTTGATTGAGCCTGTTCACGGACGGTACTGGAAAGTGCAAGTTACCATCCACCCCCTAGCACCGGCTTAAGCAGAACTCAACATTTAATTACGAAAAAGGTTAAGCCCTTATTACAGCATGTTTCTTCTTAAAGATATACTAGACTCAAATTTGATATTAGGAAATATGGAAAATTGTTGCGCAGTCTCTTTGTACATAATCAAGTAACATATTTAGACTTCACATAAAAGAGAAAATTTTGTTTAAAATCCTACACACGATTGATGGTCACAATATGATTATATAGTGTCATTAAAAATGTTGCTGTGTCGTATGGAAGTTGCGTTAATTGTACGTCGCCTTTCCATGTCTAACATATTTTAGGAAAAGGAACAACCCATACATATTTTATTTATTTTTATATTCAAATTATACATATTCAGTAAGAATTTTATAGATTTCAATAAATTTCTGTGATTCATATAGTTTACTCTTTAACATATTTTTTAGATCAGGGCTATCATGCTATCATGCATCTATCCATAAACTATAATCCCTTGGAAATATATTCCAAACAACCAAACAATTAAATTTGAAATGTTTAAGAGGGAAAATATTAATTATTCAAACCTGGGATAACCTCTATGACTTGATTAGAAGACTCGGCTGCCTTACCATCCATCAGAGCTTGTGACGGTTTAGCTATACATTTCAAAAGTTTGTTGTGATATTTGGCCGTCGCAGTGTTTATTCGAAATTCAATGACTCTCCTAGTACTACATTTTCCATTGTTTTCTGTGATACTTGTTATTGAACCAATTTCATTCTTGTCATATTCATTGTCTTTCTGTGATAGAAACACTGTAAAGTTTGAGCCCTCAAAGTTACTTTCAATTTCAAGATAACCTTTCGGTGCTCCTATTTCTCCAGTGCATTTGAAGTTTGCAACATATCCGTTCATACCATTATATATGATCTCCAGTGTTGGAATCCCAGGCTGTCCTACAAGATAAAGAAATATGATATATGTTTATCATACTTGGACACATTGTTGTTGTTTTTTTTTGTAGATTGTTCTTCTTCTTTTTTTTTGGGGGGGGGGAGATTTTTTCTTTTTCTTGTTTATTTACCCCTTATGAAAATTTTACGTATTATAGAATACGCCTATAAAGTATATATTAGAAAACAAGCTGTACAGGTGAATATATTATTAAAGTAACGCCTGTTCTGTTAGACACATTTGGAAACTCTTCTTAAGCTCTGGAGCGTACGAGGAACCTTTTACTATGTACAAGGAAACGCTTTAAATTCCTTCAAGAAATCATTATGTTAAGATATGTCATTAATCTATTCAATAATCGCCTTTGTATAAAAATGCCTCTACATTATTTAACAATTGGTAAGAAAACAAAACAAAATGTATATTAGTAATATTTAGAAACAAAAGATGAGCGAAATTTAGTTATTTCCCGCATACAAAACTCGCCATATTTTATCTTGATCTTTTCTTAAAGCTGCATGCCTCCATATCAGCTTACAATATATCAAGTAAATCAAACATGTTGAAGATCAAAGTAATAATTTACATTAATTTTGTATGCGATTTATTACTGTTTTCGAGTATTTGTCATTTTATATTTCGGCTGCATTATTAACGCAAAAATGTCTCTTTCTGGTAATTTACGTGGATTGTAAGTGCAAGTGTTACTTTAAGTGTTCACTTATCTACATCGAGCTTTTAGATACATTTTTCTAATGTTTCACGAAAATTAGCATGAATTTCGTGACATGCTAAATTAAATTCAAACACCCTTGAATAAATAATTGGAATGATTTACATTAATATCAAGCTTTTTGCCAGCATATCTTATCATTTGAAGGTTTGTGTTTTGAAAGAAACTTACTCTGGAACATGATGTCAGTAGAATTCTGTATCCACGTGTCGTTATTTATCCGCACAGCAACTATATATTCTACTTCGCCAACACTACCACAAGCGTCGCTGCAGTTCACCGGTTCAAATGTCAAGTCAAAACTAACTGAGGTAGTTTGTATGTGTATTGACATAACACGGACATGTTCACCAACTAAGAAATGTTCATCAGGTGTATCTATGTCGATTCCAGCAATAACTTCGCTACCATCTCTGCACATTCTGCGAACCTCTATCAAATTCCAGCCAGTAATTAAATCCAGTGTAACTGATATGGCGGCAGTTTCTCCGATATCAAAAGCGGACGATAATGTTGATATGCTGACTGTAATAAAAGAATAGAAAAAGTCCAACTTCTCAGCTCTGATTCCGAAGAACAATCATATATAAATATCTTTCTTTTGTCCCCTATTTTTCGTTAAATATTATAAAAATAACTGTTTAAAAAAAACGTTTTAGAACTGTCCATCTTGAAATTAAATCAAAATACAAATTCAGAAACAATGTTGATATTTCATGCAATCCCTATTTCTACAGTTTATCTTTCAACTCAATGTGTACAAAAATAATTGTCATTTTTTTCACAGCTAAATAAATCAATATACCTATTGGTGACACGATATTTAGTTGTTCCTCTGGTGAAGATATTTCTATGTCATCATGCATGAGAACAACACATCGTAAAAATGCCTCTTGCATGGCAATATCTGGTATCACTAATGACACGATACTTTCTTTTATCCGACAATTTTCAACAAGTGTATAATTTTTAATCGACGGCAGGGTGGTAAAAGATGCGGCATCCTGTAAAATATGGAAGAAAGGAATTCCGAAAAAAATCAAAAACGGCAAAATTGAAAATGTTGTAGGCTCGGTTTGATTGAACCTAATCATGGACGGCACTGTCAAGTGCAAACTACCGTCCACGACCCCTAGCACCGGCTTTAGAAGAATTCAACATAGAAATGTTAAAATTTTGAATATAAACCTTCCGCAGATGTGTCCATACGACGGTTATCATGGTGCTATTCCATGAAAAGCGGCGTAAGATCCCAAAGTGATAGAAAGCGTTTGCCTTAAACGAGAAAACTAAATAAAATGGAATTTTGAAAGGGGGTCAGAGGTTATGAAGCCTTCATATCACAGAAAAGACGTCAGAAGGCAAAGATAAAAAATTGCCACAGGCAATGTTATGTTGAACATTTCAAATTAAACAATTTGCCAGTTTAAACCATTTTTACAGTTGTAACTCTTAACAAAGGAATTGAACTATTTACACCTTTTTTAAGTTTTCTTAACTAAATAATGTAAATATACTTAATACTTTTTCAAATTAAATGTCAAATCATTCTTAATTTAATATGTTAGTTCAATTATGCTCATTTCTGACATGAAATTGTATAACTATTCTATCAATTCCATGGCACTGAATCTATATATGGGTACAATGCAATCACGTTATGCCCAATAAAACTCTAATAACATTTAATTGAAATGTACAAGTATTAGAAAATAAAAATGGCTAATATGTTAATCTTAAATAATGCCTGACACAGTAAAATCATAAAGGTTGCATATCGTTTAACCGTACAGGCTATGATTACTGTAAAACTTGATAAGCAAGGGCGACAAGGAAGGGTGGCATTCGATGAACGCACCCCAAAACAGGAGAACCAGCAACAAACTATGACAGACGCCAAATAGGTCAGGACAAACTTTGTTATAAATTATTCAGAATAGGAAAATCATAATTGTAAACCATCCTTCACGACCCCCACCCCTGCACCGGTTTACACTATATTCAACCTTTCAGTTAAATGTATCATACAAATAATATACCTTATATCTAATCTGTATCACCAAGCCACCAAGTGCCGTGTCATTATCACTTTTACCAAGTTCACCAGTACATGTTATAGCCGTTTCAATATTTTCATACATCGTTTCCGGTACGGTTATATTGGGAACACTGGATTTGGTATCTTAAAACAAATATGGTAAACAAAGGTCATTTCATCTTGCAATAAAAAGCAATACAGAAGCAATCGTTATGTGTTAGTTATTAATAAGATAAAATAGTACGTGGAAGTCTTGGTTAACAGTGTTAAAGGTTAGATTAATAATATAATTTATAGCATATATAGATAGCATCAATTCATTTACATAAAAAAAACACAATAAACAAAAGGGTTGGGCCAAAAGGTTTTACAGCATTATCGTTGGCCCTACCCTGTTAAAGATCTTTGCAACGGATGGTAATGTTACAAATTGGTCAAAAATGGAAAACCATAATGTTGCGTCCACACTGCAAAATAAAAAAAATGCTGCAGACTCGGTTAGACGCTGTTAATAGGCGGTCATGGTAAAATTCAAGGTACTGTCTAGGCTTCAGCAGAACTCAACATTGAAATAAGAATATGCGTATAAAAAAGTTTTTTGTAAAGAGTAATAAAGAACAAAGAGATGAACTTTATGCAAACCTGTTATATACACGGATGTATTCGTACTTTTGACTTTAACAGGCGATGTATAATCCCCAAGGATGTTTCCACAAATATAGACGCCTGAATCGTTGCAACGAACTTTGTCAACCTCGAAAACGATTGCAACACCATCGTCCAAGCGCTCGGGTCTCGCGGTAAAAGTACTTGATTTGCTGAAGTTATTGACTTGAATATTACCATTCTTGTTTGTGACTTCAAACAATGGCTCAATGGATGTACTTTGGAAACCTGACCTGGCTAGAAGTAGTGATTGCCACTCTGATGAATTATGTACAACACATCTAAGGGAGACCGGACCAGAAACATTATAAATTGGCTCGACAGGGTCAAAGTCAATGGTTCCTAAAATGAAATAAATCGATATTGTGATATTCGTGTTACATAGTTATAAGTCATTTGTGAGTTTTATGAAATGCACATTATATATGTACATGTATATTTCAAAATATTGTGTAAGTAAGACGACACCTATCATATACATTGGAAGCTTTTGTTAATAAGAAATTTGTTTTATGTTAAAAACGTTATTGCTAGTACTGTTAATCTATATTAAAGATCCTTATGTTGTAATTAAAGATGTAACAACGCTTGGTGAAATTCTATATATGTTGACAATTATTCTTCTAAAACAATTCCAAACATTCAAGAAATAGCTGATATTTATGATATAAAACCATAATTATGTCATACGTCAGGAATATTATTAGTTAAAGATTTTGACAGGTTATATAGCCCTATGTAAATGATTGTTTGCACATAGAGCCCGAGACGTTAGTCCACGGTTGTATAGCAAATAACCATTTATATACGGTGGTATGGCCATATAACCTGTCAAGAAACCTTATAACAAATTTATAACAATGAAAATTCCTTTATAACAGATAAAAATAAAACGACACCAGTTACGTCACGATTATCCAATGAAACACGACGTTACAAGCGTGCTTAAGTTGTCAACGCTGATAGGGAATTATACATACATTCACAGTGCAAATACGGTCAATACAGGCAAAGTGATTAAAAATAGTTAGGCAAAGTTGAAGTCAACAGGTGCCATAAAAGTAAATCATTCCCTGCGGTCTGGAGACCGCAGGGTATTGGTACGCGTTTAACTTTTGAGGCATAGAGGAGCACGTGACCTGTTTTCGGTACATGGAGAAGCATGTGATCTGTAAACCGTACATGATTGGTTAATTGACCTTTTCAAAACCTGGCTAAATACCGTTTGTCGGTACGTTACGGATAATCCTCTAGGGAATAAGTCAGAATTACACCTAATTAAGAACAAAAAACTATTACGTGATATTTTTAATTTTCTATAATTATAATACAGTTTAAGGTGGAAAAACTTGAATGATTTGTTTGAAAATTATCAATGTTTCTTTAATATGTATCTCAAAATGTTACAAACAATAAATTGTTTATACTGAAAATCTACAAAATTAAAATATTCGTAGTGGCATCTGCCATAATAAATAGAGATTTTTTTTCCCGAAAACTTGTGTGTTTGCTTTTTTTTTGCTCGGAATTATTCATAAAATGGTAGGCCTATTTAATCATTTTCTTAAAAAGAAATAATTGTTTTATGTTCGACCTTCTTCGGTCATTAACGGTCCAAAGACCTTCTTCTATATTGATCGATTATTGTCAACTATATTCCTGATACAAACGTTTATTTATCCACCTACCCAAACATTGTTGAAGATAGTTAAATGAAATATCTTTATATCATCAAAAATGTTCCCCGCAGGAAACCATTTTACTTGTTGAAACACTGGAAAGGAAAACTCAATGTGATGCTGAATGACAGACTTAAGAAACAATATCAAAATAATTAAAGAATTGAACCTGGTATTTCACATTCTGGACTCCCATGCCACCTTCCATTCTGGCACGTAACACATCTATCGCTATTTTGGACGAATTCTAAACCAGCTTTACATTGCAAGCATAACGTCGTGGTTGTATACATCAACTTGTCATTGGTCACCATGTCGTCTAACAGTGTGTAGTTTCCACAAGGATGTTCGCGACATTCAGATGCAGAGGTCCAATTTCCATATGCTAAACATTCTACCGTTTTTAAGATATCAACCACGTAAAAACCGGGATCGCAGATGACATTTGCTTTAAACCCGAACGATTTTCCAGAACCATTTACGACGCCATTATCTATCTGCGGAAACGCTCCACATATTATCGGCTGGCAAGATGGGGGTTTGCTCCAGACCTCATTTTGGCAAGTTATAGTACTGCTGCCGTTCAGTACAAACCCCAGCTCACAGGTCACATCTGCTTGACCTGATGCATGACTCTTAAACACTCCATGTTTTACTTCGGGTAACCTTTCACAAGCTACAAAAGATTTTTTCACTTGAAATTAATAAAGAAGTAAATTTGCTTAAACGCTTCATTACAATATGAGTAAAAATTATATCTTTTAGCGTCATCGGATGTTTGTTGTTTATTGCCTTTAATCATTATTTCAAAAACTATTTCATCATACTTATTTCATAGAGATAGTGTCTTAAAACTAATTATTTTCAATAAAATTTAGCCAAAAACAATTCTGGGCAACGTTTGTAAAATTCACAAAACTATTATCATGACCATTATTATCAATGATCATTAAAACGTTCTAAAGTAACCAACAAATTCAGAATTATGCAATTAGACAACCATGTAAACTATCTTTGCCTACATGACGATTGTACTGTGTTAATCAGCATGACAGTTTGAGCTTAACGGTCTATTATGCATCAGGAACTTATCATTTTGTATTTCTGACAGCTTTTTATTTTTGGTGTCCTGCTTTAGTTTCCAGACATTCACTCATTGCCATCTTTGTTTCAGTTATCTTCTGGCAATTACAGTACACTTAGAGTCAAAATATTATTTTGTTTACATTTTGCTACTTTTATGACAAACAGTTTCATACATGTATTTAGAGTTACTTGTCTCAGTTCAAAGTATCAAATATGCTTTAAAAGAATCATTTAAATCTTATAAAACTCATGTTTGTCCTTTCTAAAGGAGAAGGGGAGCGGTGACCTAATGGTTAAGGTGTCTGTCTCTCAACTAATGGATCATGGATTTGAGCCCTAATCTGGTCACGGCCATGTTTCTTCAAATGACACCAGTGCTGGTTGGTTCCAGGAAGCGGACTCAAGTTGCAAGAACTTGTTTCGCAATCGCGCTTCAATAAATTTGTTAAACCAATCTAAAGGAGAAAATCTATTCGTTTCTGAGACATACTGTGCCTTTAACGTGCTGCATTTTTGAAATGCACTTGTCAATCTTCCATTTCTAGTACTACCAATTATATTATAACTTTTGGAGGATAGCAAGGTGAAAATTTGAAATAGCAAAGAATATGTTTAAGAAATAAGAAGTATTATTATTATATCATTAGTTACAACAATAGCAGCACATCATGTCTCAGAAAGCATTTTTTAATCCTTCTTTATAAAAGGCAAATATGAGCCGCGTCACGACAAAACCAACATAGTGCGTTTGCGACCAGCATGGATCCAGACCAGCCTGGGCATCCGCGCAGTCTGATCAGGATTCATGCTGTTCGCTTACAAACCCTATTACAAGTAGAGAAATTGATGGCGAACAGCATGGATCCTGATCAGACTGCGTGGAGGCGCAGGCTGGTCTGGATCCATGCTGGTCGCCAACCCATTATGTTGGTTTAGTCGTGACGCGGCTCATATGATTTAATAACGTTTAAAATATAGGTTAAGCATTTTAGATGATTATGGGATGCACAAAGTAACAATGGATGTAAAGTTTATCGTCATAAAAAAGTTGCAAATGTAAAGAAAGTAGTATTTGGACTTCCATACAAAATACTTAATCAATATAAGAGTACACATGCACTTATTTTCAAAAATAAACAGAAGCAAAATTTGGTCCAGTTTAATGTTCAGTGTTTAAAGGTCCATTATGCCTAGGAAATGCTTTTATTTCTCTTTTTTTATGTGTACTTTTATAGTAGGCCAGTTTCCAGGACCACCTTCCTCATCTGTTTTCTTCAAATTTATTTATTTCTGTGTCATAATTTGCCTTTAAATATTTTGCAACTATAGCAGGACAACAAAAATTAGCGGGAAAAAATGAAATAAGAATAAAATCATATCGGGAACACTAATGACATATCAGAGTAAAAGTATTATACATACGGTTAGATGATTTATCTTTGACAAACACAAAATAAATAATAACGCCTGCAGCTATCAGAATTATAAGTACAAAGATCGTTGCAATAATACATCTTCTTGGCGAGCATATATCATTCTTCTTTGTGCTAGTACTATGTCGTGAATTTTGTACATGTGTATTTACGTTTGAATCTGAAATCTGATCGTATGTTGTGCTTGAACTTCTGGTTGAATCACTAAGATTTAATTGATCTTGTCCTAGGCGCACTTGTTGACTTCCACTTTGTGAATGATAAGAAACTATAGGAACTAGGCAACTGGCTGAACGTTCTTCAGTCCGCACATCTCTATCACGTTTAACTTTATATCTTTCTGGTACATCACGGTCTACTGTTTTTAATCTGATACGGCTTTCTGCGTGCGCATTACGGTCCACAGTTCCCGTTCTTGTTTTGTTTTCTGCATGCGCATTACGGTCCACAGTTCCCGTTCTGGTTTTGTTTTCTGCATGCGCATTACGGTCCACAGTTCCCGCTCTGGTTTTGTTTTCTGCATGCGCATTACGGTCCACAGTTCCCGATCTGGTATGCTTTTCTGCAAGCGCATTACGGTCCACAGTTCCCGATCTGGTATGCTTTTCTGCAAGCGCATTTCTATCCACTGTTCCCGTTCTGTTATAGTTTTCTGCACGTTTATTTCTGGTCACAGTTCCCGTACTTGTATTGTTTTCTGCACGCGCATTCTGATCCACAGTTTTCGTACATGTATGGTTTTCTGCACGCTTATTACTGGCCACAGTTTCCGTAGAGGTATGGTTATAATCATTATTGGCATCTTGGTCTACTGTTTTATTGCTATCATGACTATTTAAAACTCCTACACGACCATCGACATAACTTGAAACAGTTCCGTTACTCACATCTGATTCCTTTGCGTATGAATACGGAGATTCTTGTGATAATAATTCAAGTTGAATGTACCCTTCTGTGACTATGAGTTCCTGTCCATTGTCATGGATATTTACCCGATTGTCATATTCGGTGAAACGGTTAGTTTCAGCTTTTTTTCCAAGTCCATGGGTATCCATGATCTTTTTTTATAGTAGGTGGGACAATTTATAAATCAAAACTTCCTACTCTATATATAAATCCAGATTATTTAAAGTGAATAACTTGATATTTATCTTTTTTTTATAATTTAACAACTGATCGAGACTGTAAGTAAAATCTTATTGTCAATCTTTTTTTAATGTAAACGGAATAATCAATACATACAATTTTAATGGTCTTTTGAAAATCACCAAGTGTATAATTTCCTTTTAATTCTTCTTTTTTTACATAAAGTTATGTAGTCACGGTCAATCACGGGCATGTCGTTTAAAATATGTTCTATTGATATATATCTGGGAGTTTATGAAACTTAATACTCACTATAATGTAAACCCACAAAACTGATCAGTTAATGAAATTTAAGCAACATACACACCGGTCTCTCAAATATCGACCTTTGTCTTACGACGCATTACTCACACCAAATGAGGGTAAAAAATGACTCCGACATAAAGAAGTCCGCGAAGGAATGACAAGTTTATTTTTAAGACCTATGAATTTAAGCAATGGAAATACAAATATCAGATAATTTCGTATATTTTTGCTAACAACGTGTTCAGTTTCTGTTTTAAGTAATACTAGTTGCAGGTGAAATATACGAGAGAATATAGTTTGAATGATATAAATATGATCAACATGATTATATTCTGTCGTTTATCCAGTTAGCAACTTGTGTAACGAATTTATAAATTATAAAATGAAAATGAAAATTTATTGGTAACAAGTTCATTATAAAAAGCAACTTTAGACCGCTTCACTTGAAGCGCAGAGAAAATATTCACGTAAAAAGACGACCTTCATGAACGGCCTTCGTGATTCTACTCCATTTTAACTCGAACCGTGCATTACTCTACAACAATGGACAAAAAATAGATATTATTATATTTCCTAATTCTAACAATACCCGCATTTTTCCATATTGATTAAAGAGGGGCCGAAATTGTGTGTGTTAATAATGCAATAAAATCACTGAATTGGCGGTGTATTTTTTAGAAATTGATGTAACCTTTAAAAAAATAAGTACGGAAACAAATCACGCACAATTTAGCTTAATATCAGATACGGCAGCATTTATTAGGTGATGCTAGAATCTAAATACTAGTAATGTATCCCAAGCAGTGATTTTTTCGCTTTATGAAATAACTGTTTGTCGTCCGAACTCTAGTGATTGTAATAAGTGATAAAAGCACACTATTGGAGATATATTATTTCTTAAATGTTGTTCACTACACTCAAAAAATATATTTATTTCCTATATATGATATGTACAATCGAAACTTTCCTTCGGTCGATCCTTTCCGTCAATCTTCGGATGATGACCATAACTATCATTTTAGTCGTTGAGGTAATGCGTATACACACTAAAAGAGTAGGTATCATATTTTATATCATATATCAACAATATACGTTTTACCCAAAATTCTATTTGGGAACATGTCTTCAGCAGAGACGAATATCCGGATGATTTGAGTATTGACGCAGTATCCGGGTGATTTGGGTATTGGTGCAATATCCGGGTGATTTGAGTTTTTAGGCACAATCCATATGTGTCTGCCTGTCTGCCAATCTGTCTGTCCACGATAACGCTGTATGGTATTGATGTCAACGATTAATACAAATAAATTTATTATTGCATATATAGATAATTAACCTTAACATTAGATTTGCATTATTAATTTACTCGGGAATGTATATAGTAAATATGTATAAAAAAAACGTTCTTAGTTTCTGCATTATTTCACGGACTTTAATTAGATCTACTTTTATTGAAGTCAGAGCAATTACCTGGGACAAATAATCTAGAAAAAGATTTAATGTCTCTGATTAAACTATAACAACTTTAAATAAAATTTTAAGTAAATCAAGATGGACTCTTTTTAAAATTTCCAATGTAAAAGTGGAGCTGCATTGTTTCTTTTCTTTGTTAATATAATTATTATTACCAGACACTTATTACAAACAATATAAGTACAGCTCTGTGTTATTACAGCCAGAGGTACTCGGCACAGTGTTGGGATAGTGTAAAAAGTAATTCTAGTAAAAAAAATATATATACTGTACTGTACTGTACTGTACACTGTTTACTTTATATAATATTGATTATACATAGATCTACAGCATATATTTTTTCTAGAATTACTTTTTTTACAAGTCCCTTTGTTTAGAGCTATTAATATATTATAATTAAATTTTTTTCTTATTCATTTATGGTTACTGTACAGTACAGATATGTGTTGTGTGTTTTTTTTTTTTTTTTTTTTTTGGGGGGGGGGGTGGGGGTGGGGGGGTTGGTTTTGTTTGTTGTTGTTGTTGTGGTTGTCTCTGGCTACAGTAATGATTTTGTAATGGAAACTTGTTCTAAATAGTGTAAAAATAGGGTGACCCTGTGACAAAATACAATTGCCATGTAAAACCTTTTTTTTACAACACAAATATAGTATTCTGCGACCGAAAATTATTCTAAAACTCACAAGCCACAAAATATTACGGTTCACAAAATGGACGAATAAACAAGGAAGTAAAAGTAACTTGGTCGAGTTTTTACTTCCTACTTGCTCGAAACTTCAGAATGAGTGACTATTATGATGACGATGAGCATGGTGATTCCATATACGCAAATGACTTGACATCAGAGCTGTTAAATGTTCAGGAGTTATTGAAATCAAAATCACTTGAAGAGCTTCTCAAGGAAGATCGTGATAACATAAAAGAGAAGGAAAAAGAGAAACAGTGGTATCATGGACGAATAGCCCGAGACGTTGCAGAGGAAATTTTGAAAAAAGGTAAAGATGTGTATATAAATGTTGGAACATTTTTTTGCAGGGATTTTCCACATTATACATGAGCCTCTTACAGAGGCCACCTGTCTCTTCCTAGATCATAAAAAAAAATTAATTTAAGTGATGATTCTTACCAAAAGCAAAACAGTGTGGAGCCTTGCTAAAACGAACCCTAAGGCCTTCTAATGAGGAATCCTTCCCAGGGAATTCCCCAGGCGGTGCCGATGCGCTAAAATTTCTGAACAAGAAATCCCGATGCGCTTAAAATTATCATAGCGCTTTTAAAAATGACCGATATTCCTTTCTATTGTGTCTATAAGTTAACCCCAATTAGCCAAATAAACAAGCCAATATACATGTCCTGTGTAGATAATTACCCGAGGCGTATACACAACCCGATACACTGATTGCCTTTAGACTGTGTGACGTCACAGGCACCTGTCATCGATGTCTGCAGACGACTGTTGGTGCACTTTCAGGTGTTGTCAATTACCGTGTATTGAGATGGGTGCAATTTAACCGCGGCATGTGTGATATTTACATGTTTCAGGTAGGTGTAATAACTTTTATTGTTTTGATAATATAATTGGCATTAATTGACATGCGATATAACAGTTTGATATTTAGGGATGAATGGGTTAATTGTCTTGATATAGGTGTAATGTTCAATTTCATCACAGGAGCTTGAAATTCTATCAATAACCGCTCAAAAGTCCAATTTAAAAAAAAAGTCCATACCTATATAAAAAAAAAACAGTGTTTTTTTATATATTATAGATATGGATTTTTTTTTTAATCGGACTTTTGAGCGGTTATTGATAGAATTTCAAGCTCCTGTGATTTCATCTTTCACTTTCTTACGATCGTTACGTCTAAAATAATATGTCTAACATGAATAAGCTGATAAGGGAAGCCTAGTTCACTATCAATTTTAAGAGTTTTTTTGTGAGCAATGTCGTTGAAACTGTCTCAGGATCATTTTGCTTTTTAATATATACATGATAATCGTATTTTACTTGGATTAAACTGCATAGATATTCAGAAATAAATTTGGTTGATGGCTACTTTAACATTGAAAACATTTACGACTGTTCATTATCAACTTGCAACTGAGTGAAAACAACAACAAAAACTTTACATCAACAATCCCACTTAGTGACAGCCAATTGGTCATTTTCTTTTTTAATTAAAAATATCTTGTAATCTGTTTCTGTTCACTGAATCCCCAAAATGAAAAAAATATTAATTTTGCAGGCCCTCTTTAATCGAGCCTGTTCATGGACAGCTTTGTGAAGTGCAATCTACTGTCCTACCCCTTAGCATTGGTTTGTCAGGACATACAGGAGCTGGCCAGGCACTTTGGTGTAGATATGGAGCAGTGCCGCAGCCACTGGCACCAGGTACGTGCCAGTCTAGAGGGGACTGATCAGTCAGCCAACCAGACCATGACCTGGATTACTGGCAACCTTTCTACCTGTCGTCCAGCTCTTTACAGAATTGCTGCTGTGGGTCTCCTCCTCCCAACCTCTACTGCAGGTAATTATTATTAAATTCATTCATTCTTGAATATTAATGAAATTCCAATGACAGTTGCAGATGTGTAACACTTTGCTACAAGTTTTTCAACATTTCAAATATAAATATTTTTACTTAGTTAAGTTTATTCAGGCTGGAAGTTTTAATTTTTCAAAAATTCACAGCAAACAAACAATATAAATAAAAGACATGAGGTTAACATAAATGATTACTTTCATTTATTAATTTCAGAGGATTCAGCTGCCTGAAGAGAGTTAAGACTGAAAACAGGAATTGTCTCTCTGTTAAATTTCTAAACTATCTTCTTGCAGTCTCCCTTCAAGGACCCCCATTAGAATCTTTCAACTTTGAGAAGGCAGGCAAGGCATGGAAGACAGGCCCACATATAATGATGTTAATGAAGAAAAAAACAACTGAAATATACTCATTTAAATGGGACACACACATACATATAAATGTTGATCACATGTTGTGAACTTGTGTTTATATATAATTGTTTATTTATTTGAATTGTTGGAAATGGAAAAAGTAAATAATAAAAATTAAGAAAATGTTTATCAAGTGAAAAGCTTTCATTATTTGTTTTAAAACAGCCCACAGCAGTATCTTGACACCTAAAATGGCAAAAATTTTCGACACCCACCCCCCGTCTAATTATAAAAATGTAGCGCTTAAATAAATTCCTGGGGAATTCCCTGCTTCCTTTTCCAAATAAAATGCGACCAGTCCCAATTTTACTCATTCTTTTTAAATAGTAAAATACCTTTATGATCTGGAACCTATTTACTCCGAATTCAATATGATTTTTTCAAATTTTGTACTTGTTTTACTTTAAAATTAACCTCCTATATACGATTCTGAACACCATTTGCTGATTGTCACACCTACAGCCTTTACTTTCATTCAAAATGAAAATATCGCACATCTTGCAGGTGTAAACATATTATATCAAACTGATAAGAGTAATGTCACTTGATAAGTTGGTGAAACATATGATTTGCGAATGTGTGAAATTACCGTTTGCTTGTTTGATAACGACTATAATTGCCTCATTGATTGATTTTCGCAAGTTCAATAGATATGTTGATACATAACTTTTAATCTTTTGTAATAAATTTAATGACATGGTATTGAGTAACGGCACTTAAGGAAAACTGTTAGTGAATTCGACTAACGGCCGAATCGGATGAGAAAATAACCGGTACGAATATTTAATCATTTCTAAGCCTCCTTCTTAACATTGGTAGGTAGAACTTACCCTTGGGGACATAACATTTTTTTTTTGTATTCATGTGTATTAAAATGAACGATAAGAGTTTATAAGTTTGAAAAAAATAGATATTTATATTTCAATTTCATATGAATTACCGTTTTCTTTCCTTAAACTTTTTTGCCCTTCACATATACAAATACAATGTATGCAAAAAACATCTAATCCGGAAACCTTTTTAACCCAAACTTTTCATCTGGTCCGAACAAGTTTGGGCTAGACAGGTTCCACTGTACTAAGGCTTCTTCCCAACTAAGTTTCATCAAAGTTCTAGTTATTATACTAATATCTATTTTCAGGACTTTTAAAACATGGACATCTTGATGGTTTGTTTTTGGTGCGAGAAAGCTCCTTCTCTTCCTCAAGTTTTGTGCTGTCTTTATATAGTAAAGGCATTTTCTTCCACTTCCAAATCAATGAGGTCAAATCAGCACACTTCAGCATTGATCAAGGTCCCACAGTTCATGGTAAGATTTAAAATTTAAAAAATCATATTACTAGTGTGATGTTTTTTTACGTTTTTTAACCAGGTTTTCAATTTTGAAAATCCTGGTTATTAGATTGGGGTATGGCGGGCGGATGGGCGGATGGGCGGCTGGGCGGGCGTCAAACGAAATTGTGTCCGCTCTGTAACTCTTCAACCCTTTGAAGCATTTTGATGAAACTTCAGACAAATGTTTACCACATCAAGATGACGTGCAGAACGCATGTTCCGCATGGCTGGCGTCAAGGTCACAGTGACATTAACATTGAAAATCCTGTCCGCTCTGTAACTCTTCAACCCTTTGAAGAATTTTGATGAAACTTCAGACAAATGTTTACCACATCAAGATGACGTGCAGAACGCATGTTCCGCATGGCTGGCTCCAAGGTCAAGGTCACAGTGACATTAACATTGAAAATCCTGTTTACATGATTTTAACTTGATTTGGCAGTCAAAGGTCATATCATCTTTGGAGGTAATTTAAAAAAGATATGTTAACCAGGTTTTCAATTTTGAAAATCCTGGTTATTAGATTGGGGTATGGCGGGAGGATGGGCGGATGGGCGGGCGGGCGTCAAACGAAATTGTGTCCGCTCTGTAACTCTTCAACCCTTTGAAGAATTTTGATGAAACTTCAGGCAAATGTTTACCACATCAAGATGACGTGCAGAACGCATGTTCCGCATGGCTGGCTCCAAGGTCAAGGTCACAGTGACATTAACATTGAAAATCCTGTCCGCTCTGTAACTCTTCAACCCTTTGAAGAATTTTGATGAAACTTCAGACAAATGTTTACCACATCAAGATGACGTTCAGAACGCATGTTCCGCATGGCTGGCTCCAAGGTCAAGGTCACAGTGACATTAACATTGAAAATCCTGTTTACATGATTTTAACTTGATTTGGCAGTCAAAGGTCATATCATCTTTGGAGGTAATTTAAAAAAGATATGATATATTATTTCATGTCTACTTTGTAACTTGAAAATTTTAAAAAATTTGAACTTTTTGAAGAATTTTAGAGCAAGCGTATATTTCTATATGATGTTGACCTTGAATTGACTTCATCCTGAAGATCTCACTGATGTAAAAATGAAATAAAAATGGTCACAGTCCATCATTTTTAGTGATTTGTCACGAATGTAAGAAAATATGCCATAAGTATGTTTCTTATAATTTTTCATTTTAAATATAATGTGAACATACCAATTTTCGGGGCAATTCGGTCATAGGAAAGTTTTGGTTCAATTGGTATATATGAAAATGACAGGTAAACAGACATTGTGCGCAACTCCTTCTACATTTCTCAACGGATTTTGACCAAACTTTCACAGAAGCTTTGTCATCAAGTGCCCTGGGGCATATTGTCGGGGTTTTGCGATTGGATAATATTTGACCTTTTTACCGCCCTTTGTTTTTTTTCCTTATAAAGAATATATAGTGAACAATTTCTTCTGTGCGCAACTCCTCCTACATTTCTCCACAAATTTTGACCAAACTTTCACAGAACCTTTGTCACCAAGTGCCCTGGGGCATATTGTCGGGGTTTTGCAATTGGATAATATTTGACCTAATTATTGCCCTTTGTTTTTTTTCCTTATATAGAATATATAGTGAACAATTTCTTCTGTGCTGAACTCCCTCTACAATTCTCAAGGGATTTTGTTCAAACTTTCACAGAAGCTTTGTCATCATGTGCCCTGGCGCATATTGTCAGGGTTTTGTGATTGGATAATATTTGACCTAATTATGGCCCTTTTTTTTTTCCTTATACAGAATATATAGTGAACAATTTCTATCGTGCGCAACTTCTCCTACATTTCTCAACGGATTTTGACCAAACTTTCACAAAAGCTTTGTTATCAAGTGCCCTGGCGCATATTGTCTGGGTTTTGTGATTGGATAATATTTGACCTAATTATGGCCCTTTGTTTTTTTTCCTTATACAGAATTATCAATATATAGTGAACAAATTCTTCTGTGCTGAACTCGTCCTACATTTCTCAACGGATTTTGTTCAAACTTTCACAGAAGCTTTGTCACCAAGCGCCCTGGCACATATTGTCGGGGTTTTGTGATTGGATAATTTTTGACCTAATTATGGCCCTTTCTTTTTTCCTTATACAGAATATATAGTGAACACTAGTCTTCTTCAGTGGCAATTCCTCCTACATTATTCATGTTTTACATTGCACATAGTTACATTGTTTGTTGCGTGCATTTGTATTTCAAATACAAAATATTTATCTACAATCGTGATAATTGAAAACCTGGTTTCATGGCATTGCCATGTTTCTTGTCTGAATTTCTTTTCACTTGGCGTGCTCTTCTTAAGTAAATTAAGATATCAGTTGGATTATTTCATGTTCAATTTAGTCTGATAAATAACATGTTGTTATTGATATATTTACCAAATTGTTACATTAAAATCTAGTATGTACATTTGGATTAGTATATTTTATCATCATTGATATTCAACAGTATCCTATTCAATATCAGTTAATAGTTTAGAAAATTAATGTGATGTGAAAACTTATTTCTCCCTTTCTTGCTTATACATTTCTCTTTGTTACTTCCCTCCCTCTTTCTGAGTTAGCTTGAACCGTAAATTAAAATTTTAGAGGTCTGTTAGAAATATTAATGAGAAAACATACTTTCTCTGTCAGAGTATGCTGTATTTGTAATGAACAAAACAGGCATGTATGACATGATGATGACAGTTTACAATACATACTCTCACTGTTTTCCAGTGTACCAGCTACATGTATTAAATTCAATATGTCATTAATATTTGGCTTTTGATATGTCAAAAATTTTCCATTCATGACAACCCTACTAATTAATGACATGATTAAAGTATTAAATAGAAATCTATAAAGATACATGTAGAAAAATCATCATTGCTTTCTGATTTCAGTACGAAGCTTAAATGTTCATTCTATGACACATAAATGAGCCGCGTCACGACAAAACCAACATAGTGCGTTTGCAGCCAGCATGGATCCAGACCAGCCTGCCCATCCGCGCAGTCTGATCAGGATCCATGCTGTTCGCTTACAAACCCTATTAC